TTTCTTAGCACTCTGGACAAAATTACGAGCAGATGCAGTGAGAAGCGAAAAATAAGCAACAAACATTGGTGGAAAACTAGCCTGTGTTAGTAGTGTGATCATTGAGGAGAAACAGGTTACCATGAAAAGGGAGGAGATATCTAGGGAGGTATACTGACTTCTGGTGACCATTTTTACCTTAAAGCGACTATAATATTAAAAAACACCACGAGAAAACGATATAAAGCATTCTATTTTCAAACAGTATATTACAAAACTAAGACTTTCTGTTAAATACTAAAATGAAAAGTCACTGCAACCATTTGTTATTGATATCTAAAAAATAAAAAAGTAAACATTGCGGTCCTGATCTAATTCATACATTACCGCTCGTAACTCTGATGCTGCGCATGCGTATAAGCCTAGAAAGAAGCAATATGGCGGACGCAAATATGAAATGGCGACGAGGACATAAAAGTTACTTTACAGAAAGTGCCAGAAAGCGTAAGAGGAAGGAGTCAGACCAGAAAAGAGGACAGGAAAGAATTTATATTAGACAGGAGATCGATAGATGGCGAAAAATGAAGGAGGATCTTGGACTGAATACGGATTCGGAATTTGCGAAGCTACTGCTTGACTGGTTAGCTTAACGTCAGCCCTATAATTATAACGTATCCTCTTGTCATTGATTATATTCCAATATCCAGTGTTTGACACGTGAATATGTTATGAACAACACTACTAAAAGTGTTATCTGATAAATGTTGAAGGAAAATAGTTGTGTTATTCGCTTGAATTGACTATCGACAACGTGTGTAATCCGCGGCGTTCTAAGTGTAAAAATATGGCGGTACTGGTGTGACTGTAAGAATAACAACCGTGATGATAAACATAACCTTCATAATAAACAGAGCAATATCTATTAATGTTTACAGACAAAGTATCAATTCCTGTGCATTTCTGCACAATGAGTTTTAGCGCCCGCGATTGACATAGATAATTCTCGCACGACAAAGCCAAAACAAAACGAATTACTAAGATTGATTGTTAAAAATTACATATTATAACACTATAGAATCATTAACTGCAAACAAGAATTAGCAGGAAAACGCAAAAGCAAGTGTCATACATAAGACATGTGCGTTTGTTTATCTCGTAATCCATTTTTTCTTTGCTGCGGATGTAAATGACTTCGTCACGTGACAAGCCATGTGACCCACTCTGCTTTCTTCGTAATAAACCAAGCGTGAACATGTTTATAAACAATAGGCAAGATCAACAATATTCCGACGCCGAAAATGTGTACAAAAACAACAAAGTTGACGTTATAGGCGCGTGTATCGCTTTATTATGGATCTATTTTATTGTTCATAAGCCTGAGTTGATATAGTACATGTTGTTGATTAGAAATGAAATTAATGTTGGAGATATACATATTCTTTTGACTGCGAGCTGACCCAGTATCAGTATATATATAGATGATATAATTACTGACAGACGAGAGGCCTGTGGGCTCCTGTCACGCAATGGAGACATCCTCGACACAAGCCATACGGCCAAACGACATATTTTGATTAGCGTAAACTTTATCTCGAGGTGAAATGTTTTCAAACACCCTTCAGCAGAAACATGCGTTATTTGATTGGTTTGGTATAAAGTGACAGGAAGTTGCTATAGTGTTTTAGTATGGTAAGTTAACTATTTTAACGCAGAAGTGCACTTTTTTACTGTAGAAAGTGCAGTTATTCCGAGTGTACTGATGAGAAATGATGATATATGCTGTACCTGGATGTTCTCAGCTTTAAATAAATGCCATTATTTCTCTGGAACTGAATTTCAGCTTTATTCCTGGGTGTTTTGACTATATTTACAAACACAATGATCTTACAAGTATCCCTGGCCCTCTCCCAATGATAACTTACATCAAAATCGACATACTCGTCACTTTACAGCGTCTTTTATAATCACGGGAAGGGGGTGTTTTCTTTCCTTCCTGTCGTGTGGCTCGAGGATGAAGTTCATTTGTTGTTCCACTTTTTCTAACTGTTTCGCCTCCATCTTGTTTCCTTCCTGACCGCTGTTGTAGTCTGTCTCACCTCCATCTTGTTTCCTTCCTGACTGCTGTCGTAGTCTGTTTCACCTCCATCTTGTTTCCTTCCCGATCTGCTGTTGTAGTCTGTTTCACCTCCATCTTGTTTCCTTCCTGATCTGCTGTCGTAGTCTGTTTCACCTCCATCTTGTTTTCTTCCTGACTGCTGTCGTAGTCTGTTTCACCTCCATCTTGTTTCCTTCCTGATCTGCTGTTGTAGTCTGTTTCACCTCCATCTTGTTTCCTTCCTGATCTGCTGTCGTAGTCTGTTTCACCTCCATCCTGTTTCCTTCCTGATCTGCTGTTGTAGTCTGTCTCACCTCCATCTTGTCTCCTTCCTGACTGCTGTCGTAGTCTGTGTCACCTCCATCTTGTTTCCTTCCTGATCTGCTGTTGTAGTCTGTTTCACCTCCATCTTGTTTCCTTCCTGATCTGCTGTCGTAGTCTGTTTCACCTCCATCTTGTTTCCTTCCTGATCTGCTGTCGTAGTCTGTTTCACCTCCATCTTGTTTCCTTCCTGACTGTTGTCGTAGTCTGTTTCACCTCCATCTTGTTTCCTTCCCGATCTGCTGTCGTAGTCTGTTTCACCTCCATCTTGTTTCCTTCCTGATCTGCTGTTGTAGTCTGTTTCACTTCCATCTTGTTTCCTTCCTGACTGCTGTCGTAGTCTGTTTCACCTCCATCTTGTTTCCTTCCTGACTGCTGTCGTAGTCTGTTTCACCTCCATCTTGTTTCCTTCCTGACTGCTGTCGCATTCGCTGTTTTAGTTACTGATGTAGTACGAATGTTCAGGATCTTGTCATAACAAAGTCTGGACCCTAACACTATCAACTGCGTTTTGTACTATGGACTTGGTAATTTCTGTATTGACCATCTGGTTTTGGTGTATCTAAACAAAAGGAAAATGGATTCTAATGATTTGCAAGTTGACCCTTACGGACCCTGACCCTAATAGCTGAAGAATTCCAGAGAATTTGCCATATAACCCGCCCGTCACAGAGGACCATATATACGGAATTGATTCCACTTCATCCAAAGCCGCTTTCGTCAAGATTATAAGATAATGCAACTATTCCTACAAAAGCAGAAGGGTTAGAAATAATTTGTTTCCCTATTGAGTCCCGCCCCTCACTCCCCAAGGTGCCCAGACTAACCGCTTATACAAAATGATTAACCTTCATCCAAGGATGCTTCACACCGAATTGAAACACAATGCAGACATTCCTGTAGTAGAAGAAAGATTTTAAAGAATCCATTCTATTTCCCTTTTAGACCCCCTCCCCTCCTGTCTCAGGGGCCTTGCTTCCCCATCCTTCCCCTTCCCCAAAAAGGACTGAGACCCATCGTTTATACTAAATTGATTTCTCTTCACCAGAGAACTCGTTGATAAGAATACACCGACATCCCTCAGGTTGTATAGCATGGACCGACATATATGGCAACAGGGCAGGAATTCTTCAGCAGCGGTAACTTGTTGCTCCTTAAGTTGCAAAGTTGAAAAAATAACAAAGTCGGACTTCACATTGAATATTTATACATACAATAAAATCCAATGAGAATACAATATGAGAGAAGGTATTTAACATGATTGATAACATCAGAATTATTTTGGGTGACATTTTGAATTGACAGTACTGCCATAATCATGGCTCATGAGTAAACATGAGGGTGGATATTAAAGAATCTCAGCCAACTGTTTCGATTCAAAATGGGTGGCGTATGAATATGACTCACGTCTTGATTTTATACGTACAACAAAATAATGTAACTCTAAAATAACTGTAACCCTTGCTAATACCAGTTACAAACATTTGCTGTTGCTTTCACATTCATTATTGTAATACACTGGAGAAGTGATAACAAGATTTCGTGCTATTTTCTAATCTACGTCACTTGGCTTCAAAAGTACAACGGAAGGTCGGGTCTAAAAACCGTCCACTGTCAGAGTTACTTTTTCCAACGAGCTGCAATAAACCAAAATCTAATTTAGCTCCTCTTCATAGAAATTTCATTTCGCCAGTACCTATAATATAACTTGTCTATTCACGGAAAAGCATTAATGTCTACTTGTATTTATCTGTTCAACACTATACGATAGTTGCAATGTATCACTTCATTTAAGTCATGGTATTCGTACATAAAAATGATATTGAATATGAAAGCATAACATGCTCGGTACCACTGTAAATAATACATGCAGATTTAAATCCACCATGAAGCGTTAATTTAGCTCTGAATTGCATTGCTGAGTTACCCGTTGCAGATCAGGGCTTTATCACGTGTTCAGCGCATCTGATAAAATAACTTGTCGATAGATGGCGCTACGTACAGAGTTAAAGTCACGTGCAACTTAAAGGTTTTACAAGACCAGATGTGAACTGTGCATATGGACAGCTTATCAAATGTAGAGAGTGAAATAGTTACACACGTGCTATCACCGTGTGTGCTATCACCGTGTGTAAATTATAAGGTATGTGTTTAAATGTAGAGGGTGAAACAGTTACACACGTGCTATCACCGTGTGTAAATTATAATGTATGTGTTTAAATGTAGAGGGTGAAATAGTAAACATGTGCTATCACCGTGTGTAAAGTATAAGGTATGTGTTTAAATGTAGAGAGTGAAACAGTTACACGCGTGCTATCACCGTGTGTAAATTATAAGGTATGTGTTTAAATGTAGAGAGTGAAATAGTTACACATGTGCTAATACCATGTGTTTAGATGTCGCAGATAGAATAAAAATAACACATTTCTGTGATATCAAGGGCACAGATATTACCGAACATGACGTCACAACTTCTGTATAGATCGACGAACACGTAAACTGTACCATAGAAGCACGTTTTCCAAGAACACGAGTGATAACACAGCACTACACGTACAACCACACGTGCGAGAGAATATTGTGTCCACGAAAACAGGTAAACGTATCAGGAAAGCGCTGCTTGAGGGAAATCTGTTATCATGGTGTTCTCGAGACTGTGGCTGGAGCCGTTCCTTGCGGGACAGAATTTTGACCTCCGTCGATATCGCCTACAGAGGGCGAACAAAACATGGCGGAATTTTTTACCTACCAGCACATAGATCAGGAAATTCACAGACGAGTTGACAACGTACAAGAAACTGATGACTGCGATGTAGTTTTCCTGAACAGTTTTGTCGTCAAATAAAGCGTCTATTTGATTGAAGAACGCAAGCGTCTGGCAGAGGATGAAAACCGTCATGATGAGAACTAGGACCAGTGTCACGTTGTCTTCCTTCTGTTGGTGACAGTAGGTGGCCAGGTCCCGCCGCCGGGAACGCATGCGTATTAGCTCCCGGATAATGAGGACATTAATGACTGACATTGTGATGAGCGGAAGTAGATAGATGACGATGGCGTACATCCACACTTTGTACACATCCTTGTAGAAGAAGTTTTTTCCAAGGTCTGTCAAATCAATGCCATAACACGTGAACTGTTCTAGCTCGGGTAAGTTACATGAGATGGGTAGTGCCACTGTACCGAATAGTCGCGGAATGTTGTACACGGCGGACGAGACCGCAAGCAACACGAGAGTGATAATGGTCTTTCTGCGTGTACGATAATAGGCAGCCTTCAGAGGGTGACACACTGCGATGTAACGCTCCACCGACACCGACACAAGGATCCAAACATTACACTGCTGCACAGACATCGCAACGAAGTCAAAAGGTCCGTAAAGGTGCGGGTATATGGTGTGAACATAAACCGGAAGTGTCTTACCGTGCATGCCCACTGCTAGTGGGGTGATAGCGATAGTTAGAACCACAATGACGCCGACGTCCGTAAGCACAAGACCGCGGAGAAACAACGTCGTAGTTGACTGCATACGTTTGCTCCAGAGGACAACCATTGTAAGGACATTGCCCACCATCCCGAGCACTGCCACTGCTGGCAATAACACCACGTAGATGACAAAGGCAAAGTCTGTGATCTGTGTGGTGGGCATGTCCGGAAGTGACGTGGTATTGCCATTGCCTATCTGAGTGAAGTTAGGTGACGTGCTGACGTCCAGGTTCAGCTGAGATCTCATGACGTCACTCACAAGCACAGAACAGGATGTTACCTGCAATATAAACGGATACATGTTAGCAGTAAATGTTTAAGTGTATTGTGAACAGAGCGAAAAACGAGTCAACCAATTTACAGGAATTCTCGCTGACGTCATACTATTACACTGTGATTTCTGATTGAAGTTTCAATACAATAACGATTGTAATTTCAAATCCTTAGATTTCATTCATTTGTCTTATAATGTAGCTTAATGTAGCTTAAAGCACGTAGATAGCATTACCTTTCCCTATGTAATAGTACTTGGGCAAAGACCTAACTATCATTTGAGGTAAGTATAGCTAAATCCCAAAGATGAAACTTAGAAAATGTGAAAAGTGTTAGCGCGACACATGGCGGACGACTACAGACGAAAAACGGTTCGTAATTTTAGGTCTTGTAGGACAGACACAGGTACACGTTAACTATTGACTCATTAGGACACATGTACACGTATACTGTTGACTCACTAGGACACAGGTACACGTATACTGTTGACTCACTAGGACACAGGTACACGTATAATGTTGACTCACTAGGACACAGGAACACGTTTACTGTTGACTCACAAGGACACAGGTACACGTATACTGTTGACTCACTAGGACACAGGTACACGTATACTGTTGACTCACTATGACACTTGTACACGTATACTGTTGACTCACTAGGACACAGGTACACGTTTACTTTTGACTCACAAGGACACAGGTACACGTATACTGTTGACTCACGAGGACATAGGTACACGTACAATGTTGACTCACTAGGACACAGGTACACGTTTACTGTTGACTCACTAGGGCACAGGTACACGTTTACTGTTGACTCTCTAGGACACTGGTACACGTATACTGTTGACTCACGAGGACATCGGTACACGTATACTGTTGACTCACGAGGACATCGGTACACGTATACTGTTGACTCACTAGGACACTGGTACACGTATACTGTTGGCTCACTAGGACACAGGTACACGTTTACTGTTGGCTCACTAGGACACAGGTACACGTTTACTGTTGGCTCACTAGGACACAGGTACACGTTTACTGTTGACTCACTTGGACACAGGTACACGTTTACTGTTGGCTCACTAGGACACAGGTACACGTTTACTGTTGACTCACTTGGACACAGGTACACGTTTACTGTTGGCTCACTAGGATTCAGGTACACGTTTACTGTTGGCTCACTTACGTTGTAGAATAACCTCCATCCAAGAAATACAAGCTTTCCCGGCATACATGTAATTAACTACAAAATCCAATGTCATTCTTTTGATTGCATGACCATGTTTTATTTCCCCTAAACCTTACGTAAGGAATGTAATTAACTCTGTCACTTGTCAGGTATCGTTACTGTGTTTTCAGTGCATTATTTGATCACGTGAGACAGTGGCGCCTGTTCTAACCGAAACGTGTGTTCATGCTGGATTGTAATTAACAGACATGTCTAATTATGACATGTAGCTTTGATTTTTAATGTAATGCTAAATCAAATGTATTGCTTGTGTTAATTAACGATGGAGACAGCTGTTTTCGAGGCCTCAAATTTTCATGGTTTTTACTTAATGTTAGAAGGGAAAGGGGTGTAATTTTAATGGTTTTTACTGAATATTAGAAGGAAAAGAGATGTGATTTTCATTTTCATGTTTTTACAAAATATTGGAAGGAAAAAGGATGTAATTTTCACGACTATTGGTTTCTTTAGATATTTTATCTTCAATTGATCTTTCCCAGTATAAGTTGAACTTTCTAGATATTCTCTATACCATCACTGTTCTGATTATGGAAATCTCGTTGGGGGATTAATCTTTGAAACCTCCTTACTTCGATTCTTATCATGATCATATTCCATTTTTGGCGTATTGTCACGTCAACATTATTTTCAACTTGAGTACAAATGTTGGATGAAGACTTTGCGAACATGGATAGTTTTACAAGTTAAGTTATCACCGGTATCTAATGACCATATAAGGCAATTGCTATTCTTCGCACGTGTATCCTTTATTATGGAGAGGACATCGATAAATTATGATAACTTATGTCCAATCTATTTGTACATTGTTATACAAAAGAAATGGTTTTAAATTTTTAAAATCTGGTATCTACAGTAATCTACACACATTAGTTCTAGTACCCAATCTACCGGCAAATTTAGATCAATGTACCGTATGAATGACGTAATTCGAGAACATGATTTAGAGTTTTCAGAAAATTTTATTACACTCAAGGAGGTTGACGTTGGGATTCTGATAAGAAGCGGTTGAAGAGTACCTTGGAGAGTACCAGAGAAGGGAGATAACCGAGGTCATCACAGTTAAGTAGCTATCAGACTACCAGAAGGTATGAGGGACAGAACTATGAAAGGAATCTCGGTGATCTATGACATGTATGAACTTTTCAATTAAGAGGACAGCATATTAATAGAACATCTGTAAAGAACGATGATAGTTCATGTACTTTCATTAAGTAAGTTATCCCAAACAGGCAATGTGGAAAGTGTTTACGACATGTTTCTGTATATGACAGCTGTTGATGTCGAACACGGTTGTCATAGAGGATGTTTCCTTATAAAGGTACCGTCCGAGTGTTAATACTCAAACAGTACCCGAGGGGGTCCGAACGTTCATATAAACATACAAACCATATCCGAGGGAGTCCGAAATATACCCTGGGACGTTTTCTATTGGCTGCGCAAGTCAGAAGTACATCTAGATCGTGATGACATGATATGGATGATGATGTTACGTCATGAATTGAAAATAGCTACACCGTACTATCGTATATTATCCACCATATTTTTTGCATATATACACATATGTCACCATATTACTTTAACTACCAGGGACACATATGTACACATATGTCACCTTATTACTTTAACTACCAGAGTCACATATATATACATATGTCACAATATTACTTTAATTACCAGGGACACGTATGTACACATGTGTCACCATATTACTTTAACTACCAGGGACACATGTGTCACGATATTGCTTTAACTACCAGGGGTACATATGTACACATGTGTCACCATATTACTTAAACTACAAGGGACACATATGTACACATATGTCACCATATTTCTTGAACTACCAAGGACACATGTCACCATGTTACTTTAACTACAAGGGACACATATGTACACATATGTCACCTTATTACTTTAACTACCAGGGTCACATATGTATACATACGTCACAATATTACTTTAATTACCAGGGACACGTATGTACACATGTGACACCATATTACTTTAACTACCAAGGACACATATGTACACATGTGTCACCATATTACTTTAACTACCAAGGACACATATGTCACCATGTTACTTTAACTACCAGGGACACATATGTACACATGTGTCACCATATTACTTAAACTACAAGGGACACATATGTACACATATGTCACCATATTTCTTGAACTACCAAGGACACATATGTCACCATGTTACTTCAACTACTAGGGACACATATGTACACATGTCACTATCACCTTATCACACTTGTTTGAAATTATGATCGATTATACTGCTGGTAATGTTTAAGTACAGTTCCAAGGATTCCGGGTAGCTACATCCGGAAGGCCTCGTACCACTCCATTTCCTATGTTAAGCTCTCGGTCATTGGACAGACGGACGTTTCTGCCGCTCGACGCGCCTGTCTTACAGTACTGTAACATAATAATGTCTATTGACTCATTAAAACCCCTCGATTTTACAACAGTTCATCTTATTTTCACTTCAAAAGTACAAACAGTATTTCAAAGTGTTTCACAAGTTCTACATAGTATAAATATGCCATCAAAATCAAACAAAAAAACGCTGTTCTGCAGGTTTTGTTTTCGATTATGACTGTTATCGCTCTGCATAATTGCTGATAGTCATGATGGTACTAGAAGTGACACGAAGTCAACAGTATCAATATCTGTTTCTATACCTCTGCTTAGCGACCATTGTTTTTTTTCTATCCTTATTTGATATACCGATTTTATTAAATCTACCCTGTTTACAAAATTTCCCACTCTCATCACTAGGCTTCGTCTAGTGATTATCAAACACATTTCAAAACGCCAAGATGCAATGTAAACACCGAAACCGGATACAGACAGCGTGACTTCACAGAAGGGTCGATCTATGTACATGTACACGAAGCGTCGACCCTATTAGACAGGAATAACAAGTGCCTTATGAGTAGAGATACATGTACAAAGCTAGGAGTGGCCTTGACCAAGCTCATGTAGGTCAGACTGTCTACCGGGGTGTCAGCTGAGGGCAATCGACAAGTATCAATATTTTAGGTACCCGTAGCCCAGATCCTGATCTTCTGAACGCTACTGGTGATTGTCGCATCAAAGTTCACAACTACATTTTCAATAATGTGTGAAAAATATAGATCACCATGTTACAACCTCAGAGCAGTGTAGTAATAGTTACAAGCTAACAGAATGTCAGATGCGACTTTAGGCAGGGATGCTAAGGGAGATTGTGGTATTGCTGGAGGTGAATGTGGGTAGGGATGCTAAGGGAGATTGTGGTATTGCTGGAGAGGATTGTGGGTAGAGATGCTAAGGGAGATCGTGGTATTGCAGGAGGTGATTGTGGGTAGGGATGCTAAGGGAGATCGTGGTAATGAAGGAGGAGATTATGGTATTGCTGGAGAGGATTGTGGGTAGGGATGCTAAGGGAGATCGTGGTATTGCAGGAGGTGATTGTGGGTAGGGATGCTAAGGGAGATCGTGGTAATGAAGGAGGTGATTGTGGGTAGGGATGCTAAGGGAGATCGTGGTATTGCTGGAGGTGATTGTGGGTAGGGATGCTAAGGGAGATCGTGGTATTGCTGGAGGTGATTTTGTGTAGGGATCCTACGGGAGATCGTGGTATTGCTGGAGGTGATTGTTGGTAGGGATGCTACTGGAGATCGTGGTATTGCTGGAGGTGATTGTGGGTAGGGATGCTAAGGGAGAT